AGAAAATTCTTACCCTGGCCATTACAGAGTTACTTGAGCTAAATTTTCTAATGATTAATTTTTACATATATTATTAATTTTTAGAGTAAGTTTTTTTAGAGATGTTATACATTTTTCTTGTTAAATATTTACTTAAAGATGTAGCATCTATGTTAGAACTTATTTTATGTGGCACAAGAAAGTATAACCTAAATAGTTAATCTAGAAAAACATGGCATTATTGATTTGCTAAGTTATTTTTATTGATTCTTTACTGTCAAGGTTTTTTTTCCCCCCAATGACATGTAGAAATAAACTGAAAGGTTGACTCATTTTTATTACCCAGGCAAAGTTCTCTGCTAGGAATTCACCTTTAACTTAGATATCAATCAAACTTCCAAGTAGCAATGTTGACACATGCATACTTGGCGATGCAGCCTCCCTGTACAATTATTTTCTTTTCAGTGGCATCTTTCAAAGCGTTGCTTGCTTACAAGTAAGAAAATCCACGTGTTAGTAATTAGGCCTTGCACCCTGGAGGTGCCTGTTCCTCCCCATCTGCTCCATGGTGCCAGTGCTTTCCTGGGGGCAGCGGAAGGGCCAGGGAAGCCGTGCTGTCGTCCTGGCCTGCTGTGTGCTGCTCTGTGACAGCACCACAGAACTGGGACATTTCTAATCAAGAGAAGAGGCTGGGACATCCAAGAGCTTGGTGCTGGCATCTGGCAAGCACCTGCATGCTTTGTGGTGACATGGCAGAAGGGCCAGAGAGCATGCACCACTGAGAGAAATGGGGCCGAGATCATCTTGTTTCTTATCAGGAACCTACTCTTACAGTAACAAAGCCAACTGACAATGAGTACATTAATCCATTCATGAGGGCAGAGGCCTCAAGACCTAATTACCTGTTACAGGTTCTACCTCTTTTTTTGTTGTTGTTTAAGATTTATTTATTTGGGGCCGGCGCCATGGCTCAATAGGTTAATTTTCCGCCTGTTGCGCCGGCATCCCATTTGGGCGGCGGGTTCTAGTCCCGATTGCTCCTCTTTCAGTCCAGCTCTCTGCTGTGGCCCGGGAGTGCAGTGGAGGATGGCCCAAGTGCTTAGGCCCTGCACCTGCATGGGAGACCAGCAAGAGGCACCTGGCTCCTGGCTTCGGATTGGTGCAGTGCCGGCCGTGGCAGCCATTTGGGGAGTGAACCAACGGAAGGAAGACCTTTCTCTCTGTCTCTTTCTCTCACTATCTGTAACTCTACCTGTCAAATAAATTAAAAAAAAAATTATTTATTTACTTGAGAGGCAGAGTTACAGAGAGAGGGAGAGGGAGAGGGAGAGGGAGAGGGAGAGGGAGAGGGAGAGAGAGAGAGGTCTTCCATGTGCTGGTTCACTAGGCTAATCCGAAGCCAGGAGCCAGGAAATTCTTCTTGGTCCCTCATGCGGGTGAGGGGCCCAAGCATTTGGTCCATCTTCTACTGCTTTCCTAGGCCATCAGCAGGGAGCTGGATCAGAAGTGGAGCAGCCATGATCCCAGCCTGTGCCCATGGGATGCCAGTGTTGCAGGCAGATGCTTAATCTACCATAGTGCTGGCCACAGCACTGGCCCCAGGTCCTACCTCTTAGCAATGTTAAAATGGCAATTGCATTTCAACATGAGTGTTGAAGGGATGTTCACACCCAAGCAAGCAGAAACAATGAAATGGTTCTACGTGAAAGAGGCCTTCAAACCATGGCTCTGAAACTCTAAAGGCTGCCACTTAACACTGATTACAGGTAGCAATACAGGTTACTGAATACTCATGGAGGTCCAATCAGCAGAGCTGGAGCTGCTAGAAAGGGGACTAAAGTCACCAGGTCATTATTGTGTTGTCTCTAGGAATCCTGATTCCACCATTTATCAGTTCTGTGGATCTGCAGAAAATGAGCTAACCTCTCTGTTTCCACATTGAAGAGGAATGATTGAAGGTCATTGAAGGGAATAATACATACTAATAACAAATATTTAGATGTCCTATCTTAAAAAGTTGTTAATGAAGCCTCTATAAGAGTACATTTTATAGAAGTAACTCAATGTTGTTTTTAAATTGTTGATGGAATTATTCCTTTGTTGAGCTTCTACTGTGTGCCAAGGCAGTGTGTTGGGTGAAGTGACAGAATGAAGAGCAGGAACCACGTGGTCCCTGACCTTGTGAATGATGGGCCACACGGTCCCAAGGTGCAGCTTCTGGGTTACATAAGTGTCCTCATTGGGGTCAACTGGGAGCCATCTACACAAAAGCTCGCCATGCAGGGAAGAACTGCCAGTTGCATAGGAGATGAAAACATTTGGTCACACTTCTTTCAGTTGTATACCAGGATTGAATTTCCCTCCCTCCCTCCCTTCCTCCTTCTCTGCCTCCCTCCTTTCTTCCTTCTCTGCCTGCCTTCCTTCTTTCCTTCCCTTCTTTCTCTCTCTCTCTTTCTCTCTCTCTCTTTCTTTCTTTCTCTCTCTTTCTCTCTCTCTCTTTCTTTCTTTCTCTTTCTTTCTCTCTCTCTTTCTCCCTTCCTTCCTTCCTTCCTTCCTACCTTCCTTTCTTTCTCTCTTTCTTTCTTCCTTCCTTTCTTTCTTCCTTCCTTCCTTTCTTTTCTTTCTTCCTTCCTCCCTTTCTTTCTTCATTTCTTCCTTTCTTCCTTCCTTCCTTTCTTTTCTTTCTTCCTTTCTTTCTTCCTTCCTTCCTTTCTTTCTTCATTTCTTCCTTTCTTTCTTCCTTCCTTTCTTTCTTCCTTCCTCCCTCCCTCGCTAACTATGTCGATACTAAGTACCGATGGAAAGAGTAATAAGACTTACTTCTACATACGTGAAGAAGATAAAAAAAAGAGGAAGGGAGGACAGGGGAAATAGAGGTGAGAGAGGGGAGAGAGAGATAGGAGAAGGTGAGGAGAGAGGAAGAGAATTGTGAGAGGAGAACGGTAAAGGGAGGAACGGAATGAATACCAGATAGGAGAAGTGATACGACATGGCGAGGAACATGTAAGAGGGCGAGAGAGAGAGGAGCGATGAGTGAGAGAG